AAGATTGGAATTCTATACCAGTCTAAATCCCATGAGAATTCCAGGTACTACAATAATGGCAGATAGAAAATTGAAGTCCTTTCCCATTTTAAAATCTCCATTGCGCTAAATGTCCTTGTGAGACAGAAATAGAAGACCTTGAGTCTCAAATTGTTCCAGTGATCCCAGACCTGGATATGAAGAAAAAATTCAACACTACAAGGAATAAAAGTGTCTCAAGTTGGATGGGTATATTCTAAAAGTTATCCACCATCTAGGTTTCTAATCACACCTGGTATGTTAATTCTGCCCATTTTATTGTCTCTCCTTCTCCCTTCTTGAGGGCAGTAGGCTAAAAATGATGAGTTGCTTTAATGAATGGATTACTAGAAGTAGACAAATGACCATGACTCCAACATGGCAGAGTCTTGGAAATTCTGAGTTGGGTAGTAGGGGTGGTGACTTTGAAGGAGCAAGAAGGATAACAATCTTCTCCCATGACAAACAGTCATGTCCTTGGTATTCTGTGATTTTCACAGTGGTTAGCAAGTCCCAGCTCCTCAAGTCAGTCTCCTGAGCAATGAACCTGAATGACCCTCTTATGTTCTGTCCAAAGCCTACTTCCCTCAGTCTCAGAAGAACCCACATGCTGAGAAAACTGTTTGCCAGCCATCCTGCTGCTAGTCAGTAATTCCTTCATCACTTTGGTCAGCTGTCCTGACTATGTCTCCTCCCAGTCTCTTGTCTACCCCCAACCTACTCACTGTAGGGTCAGTGTGAGAAACAGAGAAAGTCTTGATGCTGTGCAAACACTGTTTGGCAATAGCTAAAACACTGGTGTGTTATCAACACTGTGTTAGTCATAAATCCAAACCACAGCATGATATGGGCTGATATGAAGGAAATTAGCTTCATCCTGTACAATGTGTAAAAAGGTGTAACATGTTTGTGACCACAGCAGGAAGAAAAGAGCTGCCAGTGCAGCATAAATGGTTAGTGCTATTCAAGAGTGATATTGCTGAGCAAGCAGAATAGACCAGGGAGAATTAATATGGATTAAAAGGATTGTTAACATAAGGCTGGATTCATGCATTAAACAAAGACAAGCTTGTGTGAGAATGTCTGTTAAGCAGGCTAATGAAGGTGTGAACTTGTGCTTCTTGGCTTAGAAAAATGGTGTTGTGTTTGTTACTGCAGATAAAGTCTACAGTCTACTTCTCTTCTGAACATTACTAAAACTGATCTTGCACCCTTGAGTCTTGTATGTGTTTGGTAGAATTATAGTTTCTGTGGTACTGGGTCTTAAAAGGAAAAGATTCTAAGATTCACTGTTGGAAAGTCTACCAGAGTTCCTCAGGGAGGTTTCTGTATGGGGCACACAAACAGATCATGTCTCTCCATGGGTTTGTTCTGGAGGGAGTTACAACACAACTCTGCAGCTTGACAGGAAAAAACCCGGTCCGGGGCTGAAACCTGGGCTGTGGGTTGTGAGAGTTCCAGATCTGCCTGATCATTGGGGAATTTATGTAGGATACACTGAGAAGCGTTAGGGGTTTGAGCAGATCTCAGCTTCTTTGGCTTCTAAACCCCAACTCGTCTTCAGGTTGCAGAAGACTTCTTACTGAGCGAGCTGGTTGACAAGGGTGGGGGAAGCATGCATGTTACTGAATAGCTAAATCCAATAGATTTCAGGATGCAGGGGATTTCCTATTGATCCATTAGAGTTGAATCAGTGTAATCCTAAAACCCAGGAGGTTCCTCTTATATTGGTTTGATGGATGTAGCTGGTCCTACTCTGTGTAGGTCCAGACAGAAGCAAGTCTGAACTTTTACTCCAAAGATGGAGTTACACAGCTGGCCACAGAAACTAGCATAAGGGCTTTTACAATACTCACCCAAATACAACCAGCACTCATGTTAATGTGAACACAGACAGGTTGATCCTGTTCCTCCAGATGACCAGCATTGAACCTTATCAGTATATCCAGAATCAAAAGGAAATTACCAAGGCAGATGACATTTAACAGTATAGTCCACAAATGCAGCACATGGAGCTACGCAAGGAAAAGAGTCAATGGTGGTAGAGAAAAACTGGCCTGAGGAAAGTAACCATAAATTTCATTACACAGCCTGTGGAAAATATGTAACTGAGACCATAGCCCTCCACAGACCCTTCCACCAACTTCTGAGTTTTAGCCATCCCATCTATTGTAGGAATTATGCAGCCACCACCTAGACTACAGTAGGAATTACACAGATGCCACTGCAACAGGGCTCATCCCTAGGTTCTGCTTAATAAAGGAATCAAGAGTTTCTTCTTCTACTATGTTTAATATGCAATACTTGTTACAGTTCAAGCTGGGTGCCTCCGAACAAGGAGCACCCTGACAATTGTTACCGGATTTTATAGTCTCTATAGGTCACTTGATTTCCTGATGACACTTCTGCTCATCCAATCCTGTTTGTGGAGCCTGGAGTCTCCTCTTCTGATTGACTCTAGCAGCCTCCAGGCACCATTTTTTTCCATGTCCTGAGACATTTCCTTATCTTTTGTTATGGCATATCCTCTAGTTAAAGTTCTACTTATACTTCCTTATCTACTGATTACAGTTCCACAGTTAAAAACAAAGGTTAAAGTACAACTCATGCGATCTAAGACTTCATTTACTTTAATCACTAGTGCTAAGATCTGGCACAAATTAATCTCTCACTACACATCCATTGTCAAGAAGTAGGTGTTTCCATGCATTGTGCCAGCATAATCTTCATGTTTGGACTTGAAGAGTTTTCACTCTTCTTCTGGGATATGACACGTTTAACCACTGTGCAACCACTGTTTAGAAGAGATGGGTTGGATACAACTGCCCACGCACCCTCTAAAATCAGCATTCAGGCTTTTAATTAATTTAGTGGGTTGGCTTTTTTTTTTTTTTTTTTTTTTCAGATTAAAATGCCTAGATTGACGGTTTCCACAAACAACTAAAACTAGAGCCATTTTATATTGAATAAAGACTATTTGTCACTAGGTTTAGCCATTCCTAAGGATAGACTGGTTTTCACATTGGAGATGTTTTTATAAAACATGTTGAAATTTAATGTAACCCTGAAAAATTTTGCTGCTGATTGTGATCTAACAGATATGGCACAGAATCAGTAGAAACATAAATTTACTGCTCTTCATCTCATAGGCCTGAACAGTGTGGTTTATTGAAGGACAAATGTAAATATCTATGTAAATGAGATTATTCAAGAGGATATGGAAGTGCCGTGGGATGTGGGTTACTAACTCCCTGCCTTTCTTGACATTGTAGGTCGTGTTGTGCCTCAGCTGTTTGAAGGAGAGCATACCTGCTCAGGGCTTGTGGGCATAAGAGATGGAAAAAAATTGAAGAAAGTCTGTAATTCATACTTCAGTCTCAAAACTTGCAGTGTGGTTGTTGTCCCTCATGCGGAGTCATTTATCTGGTGTGAAATATATAAATTTTTACAACACAGAGCAGAGGGATTTATTTATTCCATAATTGTGCAGAGATGGGTGCTAGGTGGTAATTCCACAAAGCTAGCATACTGCACAGAAGAACTTAAATGTATTTATACACTTCAGACTACATGAATACACATTTACTGTAATGACCATGGGTTAGTTTCTTATTGCTTTGTCCCTCATTGGTTAGTTACATTTAAATTAGCCTCAATTGCTATGTAAATTATCACACATGCTCCTTATAGGCAGGTGGTGGTGGTGGTGGTGGGCGTGTGTGTGGAGGGGCAAGCTTTTTTAGTCTTGAAGAGAGATGATGGTCATGATCTCCCCCCTGCTGCCTTTACCTTTCTCCCCAGTTACCACAGATTTTTGCTGACTTCATGCTTCTTGGGCAATCATCCATCCTTTGGCAACTACTGGGGCAGGATGTTCCCCTCTTATCAGTCTTCTAGTTCCTCTTCAAAGGTATAGTTGTTAGTAAGGCCTGCCTCATTTATACAAAGTTGAAGTAACTCACTCCCTTATCTCCTGGTTCCTTTTTTTTTGACTGCAACTGTCTTAAATCAGTAACTGACCCTGTCATTGTTCTATTTACAAGTTCAGAATGATCAGAACAGAACATTTCCTAGAGACATCATGAACCACACTCAGTTACAGCATGGGATGGCTCTGTCTATCTTGAAAGGAGCTCTCTTAAAAAAAAAAAAAAAGGAGGTCTAATCTGGACTGAAGAGTTCCAGTGTGTGGGGAGTGAACCCTTCCTTTCTTCCAGCCCCGGGAAGCCTCACAGGTACCAGATATACTCACATGACATTGGTATCATTTGCTCACATAAGAATTCAGTGTGAAGCCTTCAGGATAATGTTTATATTGGTTTCTGATAAAGTCTTCACAATCTCATGACAAATCTCAAGAGAAAGACAAAAAGATCAGATTCTCCTGACCCTTACTGAACTCTTTGGTGTGACTGTCACTCAACTCCTGCTCAGATTTTGGCTAACCCAGCTCATGCTAAGGCTTGATGTATGCTGGGAGCAGCACCATTAGGTCAAAGCAAGAGTCCCCATAGCTTCGCGGGTCCTTCTGCTGGGGTGTCCCCCCACCTTGTGGGGTCCCTCTAGCAGGGTCACACCAGGGGAGGGTGCTGTCTTGGTGTTCCCCTGGATTTAGGGTCTCTCTAGATTTGGGGGTCCCCCTGGCTTTAGAGTCCCCCCCGATTTTTGGGATCCCCTTGGGCTTTAGGGTCATGCCAGTTTTGGGGTCCTTAATTTTGGGGTCTTCCTCAGCCTGATGGTCTCCTTGGATTTAAGGTGTCCTGTTTTTAGGGTCCCCCCCTGGTTTTGGGATCACCCTAGCTTCGGGTTCCCCTGGCTTTAGGCTTGCCTGTTTTTAGGGTTCCCCATGGCTTTGGTGTTCCTCTTGCTTTAGGGTCACCCCAGTTTTAGGGTCCCCTGTTTTTAGGGCTCCTCCAGCTTCGGGGTTGTCCAGCTTTGGGGCCTCCCCAGCTTTGGGGTCCCCTCAGTTTTGGGGGAAGAGGAGCAGGATGGTGGAGGAGAAGCAGCTGAAGCTGAGCCACCTACAGCTGCCACTGAGTTGCTGAAGGTGCTGGCAGAGGCCGTGGGCATCAGGCAGGTTCCTGGGGAGGCACATGAAGCTGCTGGTCCAGGGGTCAGGTACTGCATCAAGGAGATGGCCCGGGGTGGGCGGGGGCTAGGGACACCCCCCTGGGGTTGCCTGGGTTTGGGGGAGATGAGGGGAGGATGGAGACTGGGAATGGGAGGGGCAACCCCCTTGGATGCCCTGGGTTTTTGGGGGATGGGACATCCCACTTGGATCACTCAGATTTGGGGCACCCAGGCTTGCCATCCCCTCCCTGCTGACATCCCCCTTTCTTGGGAGGGGTCCCCCCTCAAATCCCTGCTCCCCCTTTTTCCCCCTCTCCCTCCCCTTTTAGAACACCCTCAAATTCATGCACATGAGGAAGTGGTGCAAACTGATGATGCGAGATGTCGACTTCGCCCTCAGGCTCAAAAACATGGAAGTACCACAACCACCCAGTTTGGGGGGACCTCCAACACCCCTGAGGTAAGAGTGAGGAGATTGATGTCATGAACTCCGATGTTAAGATTGAAGACCCTTTATTATTCAGAAAGCCACCTTTTTATCCCACTACAAAGTTGTCAATCCCCTCAACATAAGTGCTTACTGGTTAATATACATTATTCACACACCTATTCTAACATTTGATTGGCTAGCTTAACTACACATATGGTTTTTTTTTCCTTTGTCACAACAACTTTTCTGTTCTGGGTATTCTTCCAAAGTCATCGGTTGTTCACTGATAACGTTCTTATTTTTCTGTTATTCCAAAACCTTATTTTTCTGTTATTCCAAAACCTTCAAGGTCTGTTGTTACTTTATTTTTCTTTTTTTCAAGGTTTGTTGTTACCTTATTTTTCTGTTATTCAAGGTCTGTTGTTACCTTATTTTTCTGTTATTCACAAACCTTCAGGGTCTGTTGTGACCTTATTTTTCTGTTATTCAAAGTCCTTATTTTTCTGTTATTCAAAAGCCTTCAAGAGCATCATGGCCTTCATTGATGTAAAATGTCTCCACAATTCCCCTTTTTTGTTTTCAACAACCAAGGCATGCAGTTGTTGATATTGTTGTTTAACCATCCCTTGAATACACTGCAAAAAACAAGGTAACATCATAACAACAATCAAAATCACCAATAAAACCATTCCTCCCCAGAGAATTACTTCTTGTAACCATTCCGTGATCCCCCATCCAGATAACAACCCTCTTAACCATTCTGGGTCCTTTTTACTCTTCAAATCTTTGGTCAAATCTTTTAATTGTCTTAATTGTTTGTGAATGGACTCTGAATGATCTGACAAATTTATACAACACATTCCTTCAAAATCGTCACATCCATGCCCTTGAGCTAACAATAAAAAATCTATGGCTGCTCTATTCTGAAGCATTGCGTGCCTTACTGAATTTACATCTACTGCTAATTCTGATATTAAAGCTGAAGTTAAATTCGTTTGCTTCGCCACCCAACATGACAACTTGCCTATGTTACCTAAAGCTTTACCTATACCTACATTTGGAGCAAACAAAGCTACTAATACTCTTACTGTTTTTCCCCAATTAACCACCTTTGAATTACAACCTTGCTGATATCCTAAATCTCTTTTTTGCCTTTGTTTTGTTTGTTTTAATAACTGCATCATGGATGGGGCTAACACAGTTAATCTCCCTAACATACAAGGTCCTCCCGTTGGTTTGGCTGGGACTCCAGGCAATGCTTTATCATCACAAATCAAAAATATTCCTGGTGGTAGCATCCTTGGTTTGTCAATTAACTTTGATTCAACTATTTTAATTTGTCCTCCACACCACCAAGATGTGTTCTGATATACAGGATTGTGTGGGTCCACAACTTGCACGTCTGAATTGTTCAGCCATGCCCTAACTCTTTCTGTCCCGATCCTTGTACTGAGAAATTGAGTCATTAATCCCAACGATTCTGCTATGACTTTGCCTCTTCCTCTCTTACTAAATCTCACACAACTATTATTTCCTCCTGATGCAAGAATGTTTAATTCCTCAGGGTCTGGTCCAATGCGATTTAATGCCTGAAAGATCTTTTGAATGTCACTAGCATTTCACACGTTATTTAAGACGCTAGTGTCATTCACATACTCCCAAAAGTCTTTAAAGTCCTTCACCGCCTTTCCAATAAGACATGTTCTGAATGGATCTCCGGGTGTGGCTAATGACAGACACAATGAGTCTTGCCCTGTTAAGTTTGCAAAAGACACCCATAAGTTTTGTCTTGTTTGGATGTTCCATGGTCCTGCTGTCATTGTCGTGATGATTGCTGCTCCAAAGATGATCCATCTGACAAAGGTTCCTTTTCTACCGCCGGTTTCACCCATTTTTCCGGGATCCATGTAGGTTCACTATCTGTAATGGGACAAGCATAACCTCTTCCCCATGTTACTAATTGAAATGGTCCTTCCCGTACTCCTTCTTTGTTTTTCACTAACACCTTAATTTGTTCTTTATATGTTGACATTCCTGTTGACACGGCTTGCGTATATTTCACAATGGGAGGAATAGTGTCTTCCCCTGCTAATCGTAAAAAGTTCATCACATATTGTACTTTCATTAATCTGTTTACTGGTGTCTCTCCAGATTCTCCCTGTTTTTGTTTTTGCAAATAATGTTTTAATGTTTGATGTATATGTTCTATAATTGCTTGGCCTGTCGGAGATTGTGGAATGCCAGTAATATGTTGTATTCCCCATTTGCTAAAAAATTGTTCTGTCGATTGTGAAACATATGCTGGGCCGTTATCTGTTTTTGTCTTTTGGGGGATGTCTAACATTGCAAAAGCATGTCTAAAATGGTTCTGTACATGCCGAGATGTTTCACCACTCAATGCTGTCATACAAACTGCCATTGAATATGTATCAATGGATACATGCACATATTTTAATTTCCCAGATTCTGGGATATGTGTCACATCTGTTTGCCACAATTGTAGTGACTGCAATCCTCTTGGATTAACTGCTACTGTTGGTCCTTTTGTTATTTGCTGACAGTCTGGGCATGCTTGTATGATTGCCTTTGCTTCTGAAATTGGTAAATGCAATTGTCTTTGTAAAACTTTTGCTGACTGATGGAAAAGTTCATGTGATATGCGAGCCTGTTACCATGTATCAGGAACAGGTAGCATAAAGTCTGGTTGTGTAAGTTTATCTATCCTTGCGTTTCCTTCAGCACAAAATCCTGGCAGGTTGGTATGACTACAGTGATGACACACATAATATTTATGGTCTCGTTGCTGTAATAACAACCATAATTCCTTCATTTGACTACATAACAATTCACGATTAATTTGCTTTAAAAATTATCTTTCCAAGCGCTGCACCACTCCAACTACATAGGCCGAGTGGTAATATTAACCATTTCTTTCATCCATTTTTTAAATACTTCAATTACTGCTCGCAATTCTACCACTTGTGGAGAGGCCTGCAAAATCACCACATGTGATTTCCACTGTCCATTCTCGAGCCATGTCAGGGCTGCCTTCCCAGTTTTTCCACTACCATCTGTAAAAACTGTCGGCCCACTTACTGGAGTAGTACTACACTTAGGCTTCTGTTCCAAACACTGCTGCTCCATAAAAGTAATTAGCCAATGACTTGGATGATGCACCTTTATCTGTCCACTAAAAGCTGCTAAATCAATCTGTAAAAACTGACTATTCTATAAACACCATTGCAAATATTGCTCTGTCATAGGAATGATAATAGTTTCGGGTTCTTTTCCACTTAATTCCACAATTCGGTTCCTACCCTTTATAATTAACTGTGCAAACTTTTCTGGTCTGGTTGTAATTGTTTTTTGAGGCTGGTGGGATAAAAACTGCCATTTCAAAATTTTTAATTTTTCTGTTTCTGGATCTTTATATACCCATTGCATTATCATTCCTATGGGTAGATAATCATTATTAATGATTAATAATTCTATAGGATGTCTATACACCACAGGATGTGCTTGTCTCTGGCTTAAAATTTGGTCTATCTTTTGCAAGGCCTGTTCGGCTTCTTTTGTTAATGATCTGGGCGCTGTCAATTCTATATCTCTATTTGGCAATTCAAACAATGGTTGTAAGGTCTGATTATCAATATCCAATAAATTCCTTATCCAGTTAATGTTTCCTAACAATATTTGCACATTGTTAAGTGTTTGAACATTCACCCTTATTGACACCTTTTGAGGTTTGATAGTGTGGTCTAATATTTTCCAACCCAAACATTTCCACGGTGCAATGCTTTGCACTTTTTCAGGTGCAATTTGTAATTGACAATCTTTTAACATGTTGCACAATTCCTGTTTAATTTGGTCAGTGTTATCTTTCCCTGCTATTAGCATATCATCCATATAATGATGCACTAATAGTTGTGGATATTTTTCTCTAAATGGTCTCAATGCTATATCCACATAGATTTGACACACTGTTGGTGAATTTTTCATTCCTTGAGGCAAGACCACCTATTGATACTGTTGCTCTGGTCCTTGTCTATTTGTTGTAGGCACTGACAATGCAAACCTAACACTATCATCAGGATGGATTGGTATGGTAAAGAAGCAGTCCTTTAGATCAACGACTAAAATGTTCCACTCCTCAAGAATCATAGTTGGTGGGGCAATCCTGATTGCAAAAGTCCCATATCTTCCATGACTTCATTGATTCATCATAAATCATGTAACAATCTCCATTTTCCTGACTTTTTTGGTATTACAAAAACAGGTGTGTTCCAGTGACTAGTTGATGGCTGAATATGTCCTGCTTGAAGCTGTTCCTGTACTAACTGTTGTAAAATGGCGACCTTTTCTGCTGTTAAAGGCCACTGATCCACCCATATCGGTTTGTCAGTTTTCCATTTCAGTTTGAGTATAGGTCGCTGATCAGCAGCCATTGCTAAAAAGGCTTCACTGATTTTGTTGATAACACACATTTAAACTGAGCTAACAAGTCTCTTCCCATAAGGTTCATTGGAATTTGTGCCACCTAAGGTTTTGTCCAGCATGTGAATCCATCAGGCATGATAAATGCAACTGTAAATTTACTCACTTTTGTCATGGCATTACCTCCAATTCCTGCCAAAGTTCCTTGAGGGAGGGTAACAGGCCAACCCTTTGGCCACTCTGCTTCCGATACTATAGTGACATCAGCTCCTGTATCTATCAACATAGCAAGTTGAATTGATGCATTGTTTAAGGTCACCGTGACAGTCATTTTTGGTTTTTTATTCTGGATTTCAAAAGCCCACATTATTTGTTTTTCTTGTCATGTTGATCCAAATCATCCACTCCCTCGTTCTTTGTTTTCAACACAAGGCACCTTATTATAAAATGGTACAGGTTGTGCCAAACCTGTCCCTGCCAGAACAGCAACAGGGGGGCTAGGTGTCCACACCATTGCTTATATGGGTCCTATGTAATACCCATTGAGGACCCCAGGCAAAACAAAAATTCCTTGTACAGTTACGCTAGAACGTCTCAATAGTAAGGCACTAAGGCCATGTCACAGGGGGCCATGGGCATTTATTGGTATTCTATGTACACTATTATCTGTTAAAGTAACATCCTTAGTACTTACTACACCCACTCTGGCGCTTCCACTGGTCTTGGCTGTGAGTTGGTCCAAACACCCTGACTGCTGTTTTCCCAAGATGGAGGTTGGTTTAAAACGTTCAGGGGCATTTGTGTCTTGGCGCGGCCCTGGTCCGAGCTGCGTTTCCCATTTCCCTGCTCATGATTAATAGGATTGCCATTCTTATCAAATCAAGACTGACACTGATTGACATAGTGATGTCCTTTGTGGCAGCGTGGACACACCCCTGGCATGCTGTACCCTTGTGGTCTGTTCTGCCGCTTCCCTTGACCACACTGAAAGCTCAGGTGCCCTTGCTGTCCACAGGTATAACACCTCCTTGCTCCTAAGGGCTTCATCACAGCCACAAAAGCTCCTGCTAACATTGTTGCTTGTTGTTCCATAGTTCCCACCCGGTTGGCTGCTTCTACCATTTCTACTAAGGTGGCATTTCGAGGCAGAGCAATCAATATCTTTTTACAATCGACATTAACATTTTCTAAAGCCAATTTTAGCGATAACGATTCTTTGGCTTCTGGGTGTTCAATTTGTTTGTCAACAGCATCATGTAACCTATCTATAAAAGTCATATAAGGTTCAGTTGGCCCTTGCTTGATGGAAGTAAATGAAATTGGCACCTTGCCAGTTTCAGGCAAAGTTAAAAACACCCTTAAAGCGATCCGACCGGTTTCTCTCAGAACATCCAGTAGCATTCTCAGTTGCAATTGAGGGTCTGTTAGCTGACCTGTACCAGCATAATGATGCACACCAATTCCTAGCAAGGGATCCCCCTGCTGGTGTCCCAAATTCTCCACTGCTTTTACTTCACAGAGTTCTATAAATTTGTCTCTCCACAGTAGTTTTTGTGTCGGTATTAAGATTAGCGATGACAATTGCTGACAATCATACAGAGTGACTAATTGCCCACACAACACATTTTCCAATAATGTTTGTGAGAAGGGAGACTGTAATCCATTCTGCACAACAGCCTTCCTTAGTTCCTTCACTAGTTGCCAGTCAAAAGCTTGAAACTGAGGCGGCTGGTTTGGTCTGAGAATAACTGGAAATGCCAAGACTATCTTCTTTGCATCCTTTAACCCATCCATTCTTATTTTTCTTCACCTTTCCCTAATAGATACTCTCTTCCGGCCTCTTGTCTTTCTAGCCCCTTGAATGTATTCCGCTTCACTGCTGCTGTCATCATTCGTTTTTCTCAAAGAACGCCTGATATCCTTTTTTTTCAACCTTAGTGACTTGTTACTTGGTCGTAAAACCACAGTCTTACAGTCAGATTCTTTATCCAACTGCGACTCCTTATGGCCATCATCGCTATGATCAGTCTGAGTGCCTGCTGTTACGATGCTGTCTGTGTTCATCTCTGCAGGGGGATCGTTAGAGACAATCCCTGGCAAACGTTCTTCAGGCAGCACGCTCACGTTAAAAAGAAGTTTCTGAGTGGTGCTGCCTACTCGTTTCTCTGCACGCAAATCTTTTAAGATCTCGTAAACCAAGCGCCAAATTGTTAATACACGATTTGCATTCAAATCACCTTTTGAAGCATGCTCAAAAAGCAACTCTCTTGCTTCTTTCCAAGTTAAAATATCAAAAGCAGGAGAGGATTCTGCAGGTACTCCCTTACTTTTGAGCCAGGCTAATAACAACTCTAAAGTTCGTTCTTCATATTTAATTCCTCTTTTCTTTAAAATATGCTTTAACAAATTAACTACTGCTCTCCCATCAGCTGACACATTAGCTCCCATCTCCTTTCTTGGCTGCTCACCTGCTCCTGGTAATGGCAAAGGTGATGATATGGCCCCAGGGTCTTTGTCCACTTGGTCCAGCTGGCAAGACAATCATTCAGCCGAAACGTCTCCCCCAGACACTGCTACTTTGGAATGTGCTTTGTCCAATCCCTTAGTCTGTCCTGGGTTCTGGATAGTGTCCTAGACATCGGGGTCAATATCTGGGGAGACTGAGGACACGGACTCCGATGTTAAGATCAGAGACCCTTTATTATTCAGAAAGCTGCGTTTTTATCCCACTACAAATTTGTCAATCCCCCCAACATAACTGCTTATTGGTTAACATTCATTATTCACACACCTATTCTAACATTTGATTGGCTATCTTAACTACACATGCCTTTTTTTTTCCTTTGTCACAATAACTTTTTTGCTCCGGGAGTTCTTCCAAAGTCCTCTGTTTTTCACTGATAAAGTTCTTATTTTTCTGTTATTCCAAAACCTTCAAGGTCTGTTGTTACCTTATTTTTCTGTTATTCAAAGTCCTTATTTTTCTGTTATTCAAAAGCCTTCAAGATCATCATGGCCTTCATTGATGTAAAATGTCTCCACATAAGGGTGTTTTGGGATCCTGCTGACCCACTCCCATTTCCTCCTTGAAGCCCCTCTATGGCTTCCACACTCAGGAATTCATCCCCTTCTGTTTACACCATTGGCACCAGCCATAAGTTTTTTTTTTATTAGGAAAAAGAGGTGGATTTGAGTGACATCATCAACACCCCACTGTCATGTGTCCCTCTCAATGTCTGCCTCAAGGGCAGGGCTGTGTTTTTTGGGGGGCTTTGGCATGATTTTAGTTTTTTTGGGGGGGGACATACTCACCTCATTTTCTTTCCCCTCCTCTTTCCCCGCTTGCAGCTTACTGGCTCAGCAATGAAGGGTTGCAGCTGGCCACCCCCAAAAACCTTCTACCAGGTGAAGAAACTGCCCCTCCTCCTCCTTGGGGTAGATTTGACCCCCTTGGGGGGTAAGTTACAGCTCAAAACCCCCTATTTTTGACCACCCCAGCCTCCAAGGAGCAGCAGAAGGCCGAAGCCACAAAGCCCTTCAAGTCTACCAAGCTGGAACAGGAGGACAATGGGACCCTGAAGGGGAAGGACCACCACTGACAGCAAAGGGAGGGAGCATCAGAGGGGAGTGTCTATGGGGCAGGAGAAAAGTTAGGGGGGGCATTTGGGACAGGCTATGGGGTTTTTGTGTGGTCCATGGGGTGTTTGGGTCCATGGGGTCTTCAGAAAGGGTTGTGGGGCATCTCAGGGGGGGCTAGGGGGTCCATGGGTTGTTTGGGGGGGTCACTGAAGTGTCTATGTGAAGGCTTGTGTGGCATCAGTGGAGGTTTGGGGGTTCCTTGGGGTTTGAGGGGTCCCTGGGATCTCCACGGAGGCTCTGGGAGCTTCATGCTGTTGTCCATGAAGGGTTGTGTTGCACCTACTGGGGGTCTGTGTGTGCTTGAGAAGCTCGGGGAGGGGGTGTCTGTTGAGATTTTGGGGGGCTCCCTGCACCCCTGGTGACTGTGTCCCCTCCTTTGACTACATCCCAGTGAAGGAGAAGCAGGGGCCCCTGCTGGAGGTCACCTGGCTGTTCCTCAAACCCTGCAGTGCCTGTGAGCTCTTGATGGAGTAGCAGCTCTACTACAATGTCACCAAGGCCGGCATGGGCTCCTGCAAGGCCAAACGTGCTATGAATATCCCCTTGCAATGTCTCCCAAAATCTGAGGGGAGTCTCCAACCCGCTTCTTTGGGGACATCCTGGTGTCCCCAACTCAACACTGACCTCTTGGGTTGGTGGCCTCCCACTCTCCTCCCACCTTAAATATCGTGTTTATTGGTCCCTGTTGCCCCCCCACCGTGTCCCCACCTCCTTGCCACATCACTTGGGGTGCTCCCTTGTCCATTGGGATGATGTCCAGGAAGCTCTCCAGAGCATCATCACTGACCCCAGTTTCTACCAGATGCTTCCATGTTTCATCATCTTTGTCTTGGAGGGGTTGAGTCCCAGGGGGATCCCCAACATGTAGGGTGATATTGGTGTGTCCCCAAAGGTGGGGTGGCCCTTATGACATCCAACACTGACTTTCTGAGTTCCTCCTTTGTCCCAGGTCTGGGCCAATGTAGTGCAGAACAAGTTGGTGCTGTTCATCTACCTTGTGTGGATGGTGAAGGCTCTAATGGACAACCACACTCTCTACCTGGAGAAATGTGAGTCTGGGCCCCCCCACACACACACTGTCCCCTTACCTGGGATCCCCTGAGGGATGTCACTGGCCTGTCCTGGACACCCAGGGCTGCTGTGACCCAGCTATGTCCCTCTCTGTATCTCCCCACCACGTATGTAAGCTCCACCAGCTTGTCCTCGTCATCACAAACACATGTTGTGAGCCAGCAGCTCTCCCAACATCCTGATGTAGGGCTGTCCATGTGGCCCACCATGTCCCCTCCATGTTCCATGGTGTCCCCTTGTGTCTCCAAGCTCCATGAGCTCATCCCTGCCATATGATGTGCATTGTGAGCCACCAGCTCTGCCTCCGTTCTGACATGGACAACCACTGGGATCTGCGGGACTTCGCCGCCTCGCTGGTGGCCCAGATCTGCAAGAATTTCTGCACCACCCCCCCCACCATCCAGTTCCATATCATCAGGACCTTCCCCAAGGTGGGGTGGGGGTGTGGGACAGGGACATGGAGCAGAGTGCGGGGTAGGGATGGGTATTTGGGCAGGGGGCAGGGTTTTGGGCCTTGGGCTTAAGACCAAGGCTGTGGAGCAGCAGATGGACATGGGTTTGGGACAGGGAGGGAACTGTGGGGCAGGGCCAGGTCTATGAGGCAGAACTGGGGCTGTGGGGCAGGACTGGCAACTATGGGGAAGAGTGTGGGGCAGAAGAGGAGCCGTGGGGCAGTATCCTCCCCAGCCTGGAGCCGGGTGGAGAAGAAAATGCCCTGGACCACGTGCTACGGCTTCATTGTGGGGCAGGCTGAAGTGGGTCACAGTGTGAGTGTCCCTGTGTGTCCCCTCACGGTGACACACGTGGCCCACCCCCTCCAGTGCCTCCTCAATGTCCCCAATTTTCCCCCAGGTCATGAAGACATTGTTGATCCTCCATGGCTGCAGGTGGAGGGCAAGTGGGCACGGAACATTCTGGAAGGTCCCATGGTCAGCAATGTCAATAGGATCAGGGCCCACCATGTCCAGACCTTGCTGCTGGTGGGACCTGGGGACATGTTGGGAACACATTGGTGGACAGTATGGGGGGTTGACCCCATAATTAGCAGCTTTATGGGGCTGATTGTGTCCAAACTGGGCTGGAGGTGGCACTTGGCAGGGTGCAGGTGAGGGAGGTAGCTGTGTGTTCTCACCATGACCCTGTTGTCAAGGTGGTGTCCATGGGGTCCCCAACATCCCCAGTGTCCCCACAAAAACACTGCACCCCGGTGCTGGCCAAGCTCCTGCACCCCTGGTCCCAACAACCAGGACTCCTCCAAGGGGGATTTTGGCTACCTGGGGGTTCTACTCTGCACCCCTGTGGGGAAGTCATGGGCACAAGCTGCCATGCAGGTCCAGCAGGTCAACAGGCCCACCCTGACTGTCACCCAAGGGAGGGTGGTGTAAAGGGCAAAGGATTTTTGTCTCACCATTGCCTGGTTAATATTTGCTCTGGCTGTGTGTTCTGGATGGCCTTGCTAAAGCAGAATGCTCGCCTCCTTGGAAGATAAGTGACATCTGGCTTGTCTTGGTAAGAGATGTTTGCCTCCTGTCTTCGAGCGGTCACCATGACCACAGCACAATCATCAAAACTGCAACTGGACATTTGGCACCTACGTGTTTTAAGGCCACAGCATTCAGAGGGGGATCCAATGACCCCCTAAATAAGTGATACATTGACAGTTGCATGGCCACCCAAGCCTACGTGGCAGACGTGCCACCATCTTGACTACTGAACTTAAGCAAGACTGCTGAAAAGCAACCGTAAATCTCACCACCAGAACTCTATAAAACAGATACAAGACAGTCAAGAGCAGAGCTGTGCCCACTGAAGAAGAGTATCAATGGGATGTCGCTGGATCCATGGTGGTGACTATCTCTTGCTTTTCTTAAGACAATCTTTGCGTTTTTCCCCCTTTTCCTAGCATTTCCCTCTTTCCGTCTTTTTGTAAGTAATAAACTGAATCAGCCTTTGGTTATCAACATTTGAACTCATTTGTGTCTTATCTTGCTTCAGATGTATTCAACCTTCACTCCTCCCCCTCCATGTTTGCAGAATGGGACAGGGGGGATGGGTGGGGGAAGACAGGGGACATGGGTTGGGGACTTGGAGGGCACATGTTTCTCTGCACCCACGTGGTGCGAGCCCAGGAGGTTCACAACTGTACCTTCATCTGGCTGATCCTGGGGACACTGGGAGGGACATGGGGACATGGGAGGGGATGTGGGGACATGAGGGGACCGTGGGGTCACAGGGTGGGGCTGTGGGACATAGGACTTTGGGGGGACATGGGGACACGAGGGATGTGGAGATGCAGGGGGACACAAAAGTTGTGGGGGACATGGTGTCACACAGGTGGGAAAACAGGATGTGACACTTGGGGGTACAGAGTGACATGGGGACATGTGGGAACAGGGAAGGGACCCACAAAATCACAGAGGGACCCACAAAATCATGAGGGGGGACACAGAGGACACATGTCCCCTAATCCCCCATGTAATCTTCATTGTCCCCATAGCCATGTCCCACTCTGACCTTGTCACAGGCCCCCCAAGGTCAGAGGTCTGCCCACACCCCCCCAGCATCATCAAGGTCCCCAGTGCCATCACACTGCCCATGCAGACCCTGGTGTGGGCGTGCCCTGGGACAGCCCCCCAGCCCCTACCCACTCCCACCAAGTTCATGACGTCATTGGCTTTGCATGGGGACTGTGGGATCCCCTTGGGCAGCCAGCGGTGTTGGCCTGGCCCTGGGTTGTCCCCTGTGTCCCCCCCCACTTTTCTGTGGGGATGTCCCCTGGGTCGTGGGATGGCCGTGTCACCACAAGGGTCCTGGGGATCCCAGCCCTGGTGGCAGCAATGGTGCCCGTGTCCCCACACTGTCCTCACATTCCCATACCCCACCCAGTTCCCATGTCCATGTGCCCCACCCTGTCCTCATGTCCTCCCACGGTCTTTGTGCTCCATGCTGTCCCCCTGCCCCACAGGTGACCACCTTCAGCACCAGCTCAGCACCCACAGCCACATCCCCTGTCACCATTATCTGTCCCCAGTGTCAAGCCTGTGGTCAAACTGGTGTCAGCGGTGCCCACGGTCCCCAGTGCCACCATCACCAGCAGTGTCCAGAAGTGTCTCGTGGCATCCCTGCCCTCCACTGGTGACACCAAGGGGCACTGGGATCCCCAAAGGTGCCACCAACCCAGAACCGCAACTGTCTCTCTCTGCCACTGCCTGCCCCATTGTCGTCTCCACTGTCACCCCCAAATTAGAGTCTAGGGACAGTCCCCAACCACCCCCCCCTCCTTTGGGAAGGCCAGCAGGACCCCTCCCTGGGCCAGTGGCACAGTGCCCCCAGTCTGCTTAGTGACCTCACTTGGACCCAGCTGCTGTGGATGTGGGGTGTCCTGGGGGTCCCCCACTGTCCCTGTGTCCCCCCCCCCAGTGTCCTAGAACCCTTCTTTGGGGACACAGAGGGTGGCTTGGGGATCCCCCAGTGTCCCCATGTCTTATCCCCCCACCCCTAGTGTCCTAGAATCCCTCTGGAGGGGGACAGGGTGTGACCTGGGTGATCCCTGAAGTCCCCAGGGGCCCCAGGACCCACTTCACAGGCCATCCCCCCCACTGGGGACAGGGACACTCCCTGTAAATACCTGCACCCACACACTGTAAATAACCCAATAAACTCCCAGTGCCCCCAGTTCATCCCAGTGCCTCCCTGTACCCCACAGCACAGCCCTGTCCCTCCGTGTCCCAGGGCTATGGCAAACAGGGGTTTGCACAAGCCAGAGGCATCCCTGATCAGCAGAACAAGCAGCCACCCACATTTGAACAAGGACACCCTGGAGCCGTGACCCCTTGAAGGGGGCATATTGCCAGCTTGTCTGTGTATCCTTAGGGACTACCCTCATGATAATACTAAAAATCACACCTACAGGTCAAGAAGACCCTTGCCCAGGTGAAGACCCTTCCTCTGAGCATGCATAGTAGTAGAAGTATTGTGTCAGCAGTATTATAATTGTATGTAAATTACTAACCAATCATTGTAGAGAGGATGGACTTGGAAAATTACTAATCCTGCAAGTTTTGGTGTTCTTTATTTGTGGCATTACCACCTAGCACCCATCTCTGCACAGACATGAAATAAAGAAATATCTCGACCCGGTGTGCATTGGCTTGCACAGTGAGTGAAAGAACTCTGCCTCTGGGATAACTTGGAGGAGGGGGGCATGAGGGGGAGAAATTCTGGGAAGGGTGTATCACCCAAATCCACTGACCTTTTTCACCCCCCCCACTCCTCCCTCCTGGATACCTGGGTCCCTCAGGGCAGTGGTGCACCTGCAGCAAACACACACATACCCTTGGGGGGCTTTGGGGTGCTGGGGGGAAAATGCAGACTGTGGATGGGGGTGTGTGGCCCTGGGGAGGGCAACGGGGTGAGGGGTTGGGTGTCCTCCAAATCCCCCCGTCCCCACCCTTGCACCACTCCCCGCTCCCCTCCAAGACGCCTGGGTCCCTTAGTGCAGCACTGCATGCAACACCCTCCCTCCTCAGAGGGGAGTTCTGGGGTGCTGAGTGGAAATGGGGACTGAGGGAATGGGGGTTCCTGGGTGGGTGGGTGAGTAGCCTTAAGGTCAGGGGGTCCCCTTGCCCCCCACACCCGGACACCTGGGTCCCTTAGGTCAGCTGTGAGTGCTCCTCCCCTCCCTGGGGTTTTGGGGGTCCTGAGGGAAAATGGCGAAGATGGGAAAAGTGGGTGCCTGGGGGTGTTGGTGACCCTGGGGGGTGACCCCGGGGTGGGGGTCCCCCAAATTTCCCACCCCCACACACTCCTTGATACCTACGTTCCTAAGGGCAGCACTGTGCCTGCAGCACACACGCCTCTCAAAAGGGACTTCTGGGGTGCTGTGGAGAATGGGGACCCTGGGAAAGTGGCTGTCTGTGGGGGTGGGTAGCCCCAAGGCGGGGGGTTCCCGTGTCCCCATACTGCGCAGGTCACTCTACGGGCTCTGGCTTTTGGCAGATCATGACAACCCCTGCCATGGGGGAGCGCTGCTCCACACGGGTGCACGGTGACTGCTCTGGACCTACCTCCAGGATTATTTCCCTGTCTTGGTGAACCAGGGATTGGGGGCAATGGGAGTGGGATGGGGCTGAGGAGTTAGGGGGGGGCCCATAGGGTTTGTGGGGACCTGATAGGGCGCCTAGGATTTTAGGTGGGGGGTTATTATAATTGTATGTAAATTACTAACCAATCATTGTAGAGAGGATGGACTTGGAAAATTACTAATCCTGCAAGTTTTGGTGTTCTTTATTAGTAGCATTACCACCTAGCACCCATCTCTGCACAGACATGAAATAAAGAAATATCTCGACCCTGTGTGTATTGGTTTGCACAGTGAGTGAAAGAATTCTGCCTTTTGGGGGTACTTGGGAGGGTCTCTGGGAGGATGGAGGGTCTCTAAAGGGTCCCAGAGGGTTTGAGGATAACTGATGGGGTCCTTGAGGGGGCTTTGGCAAGTCCCAGAGGGTTTGGAGGTACCTGATAGGGTCCCTAGGGGGATTTTGGGGAGGATGGAGGGTTTTATTGGTACTTGAGTGGGTCCCTGGAGCGTTTTCCAAGTCCCCAAGGGGTTGCAGAGGGCATGGCGGTATATGATGGGGTCCTCTGTTGGAGAATGGCTCAGAGACAAGGGTCCTGAGCCCACCGAGCAACTGTATGATCAGAGCCTGCTCTAGCTGCTGATGCTGGGCCTCACTAGGGTTTGCCTGCAGCTGCTCGCAGCTGCTGATACATGAGGAATGTCAAGGACGCTTCAGCCCTGTGTACCGTGGTGTGTCGAAAACAGGTTAAGGGGAATTAGGAATAGTGGTCTGAGAAACCTAGTGTTATGGTACTGTTGTGTATCGAAAACAAGTCAACAGGAATCAGAAATAGTAGCAAGAGAAACTTAGTGTTATGAGAAGCTTGTGCTGTAAGCTAACTGCAAGTAGGTGGATCGTGCAAATACGACCTTTAGAGCTTAAGCCAATCAGCTAGTGACTAGTAGGCATAATAATTACCATTGTCTATATAAATATATGTACCCTGGACCAATAGACACACACGTTGATTGATGCTCTATCTCCCACACTGAACCCGTCTCGGTGTGTCGTTCGTCCGCGGCTCCACAAGATGGCGCCCGAACAGGGACCTGCATAGAAGAAGAACACGGACGGAGCGGCGGACCCAGAAAAAACAGCAACGACCGAGGAATTCGAGAACGGACCCGGAGAAACACCAAATACAGCAGCGTCCGGGGTCTACGAGCTGAGACGGAGAGGCGCCGGCCCCGGCAGTCCCAGGAGAGTACTCAGAGAGAAGCCGGCTGGACCGGCCCCAAGACCGGAATTGAGTGGCCCCGTGAGTGGAAGCGGAAAGGCGCCGGAACTAACGTGGTAAGGAGGCGACTGCGGCAGCCCCGGGGGCAGACGTGAAGGCACGCTACAGGCGAACGCTGAGCAGCCCCGGGGGCGGACGTGAAGGGACGCCACAGGCGGACGCTGAGCGGCCCCGGGGGTGGACGCGAGGGGGCGCTGGAGGCGAGCGCAGGGTGGCCCCGGAAGTGGAAGGGGGGGGGCGCCGGAACTGACGCAGAGGGGCGCCGGAAGCTGACGCGGAAAGGCGCTGCATACAGCGGCGGCAGAAACAAACGCGGGGAAACATCAGAGACAGCAGCGCCTAGCCGAATCAAGGACGATCGGACAGTGGGCCTCCGACGGGTCGTTCTGAGGAGCTGAACCGAGATAGAGGGTCGCTCTCTGCAAGGGCTGCTGGCAAGAGCTGCACCTGGTGCCTTAGTCACGGAGCATCAGCAACATATCAAAGTAATGGAGTAATTTTTTAGTGCCTTAAACAGGGAGCACAGGCCGGCAGGAGTATTTTTTGTGCCTTAAACAGGGAGCACAGGCCGGCAGGAGTATTTTTTGTGCCTTAAACAGGGAGCACAGGCCGGCAGGAGTATTTTTTGTGCCTTAAACAGGGAGCACAGGCCGGCAGGAGTATTTTTTTGTGCCCTAAGCAGGGAGCACAGGCCGGCGGGAGTATTTTTTGTGCCTTAAACAGGGAGCACAGGCCAGCGGGAGTATTTTTTGTGCCTTAAACAGGGAGCACAGGCCGGCAGGAGTATTTTTTGTGCCTTAAACAGGGAGCACAGACCAGCGGGGGTATTTTTTGTGCCTTAAACAGGGAGCACAGGCCGGCGGGAGTATTTTTTTATGCCTTAAACAGGGAGCACAGGCCGGTGGGAGTATTTTTTGTGCCTTAAACAGGGAGCACAGGCCGGCAGGAGTATTTTTTGTGCCTTAAACAGGGAGCACAGGCCGGCGGGAGTATTTTTTGTGCCTTAAACAGGGAGCACAGGCTGGCGGGAGTATTTTTTGTGCCTTAAACAGGGAGCACAGGCCGGCGGGAGTATTTTTTGTGCCTTAAACAGGGAGCACAGGCCGGCGGGAGTATTTTTTGTGCCTTAAACAGGGAGCACAGGCCAGCGGGAGTATTTTTTGTGCCTTAAACAGGGAGCACAGGCCGGCGGGAGTATTTTTTGTGCCCTAAGCAGGGAGCACAGGCCGGCGGGAGTATTCTTTGTGCCCTAAGCAGGGAGCACAGGCCGGCGGGAGTATTTTTTGTGCCTTAAACAGGGAGCACAGGCCAGCGGGAGTATTTTTTGTGCCTTAAACAGGGAGCACAGGCCGGCGGGAGTATTTTTTGTGCCTTAAGCAGGGAGCACAGGCCGGCAGGAGTATTTTTTTATGCCTTAAACAGGGAGCACAGGCCGGCGGGAGTATTTTTTGTGCCTTAAACAGGGAGCACAGGCCAGCGGGGGTATTTTTTGTGCCTTAAACAGGGAGCACAGGCCGGCGGGAGTATTTTTTGTGCCTTAAACAGGGAGCACAGGCCAGCGGGGGTATTTTTTGTGCCTTAAACAGGGAGCACAGGCCGGCGGGAGTATTTTTTGTGCCTTAAACAGGGAGCACAGACCAGCGGGGGTATTTTTTGTGCCTTAAACAGGGAGCACAGGCCGGCGGGAAGTATTTTTTGTGCCTTAAACAGGGAGCACAGGCCGGCGGGAGTATTTTTTGTGCTTTAAACAGGGAGCACGGGCCAGCGGGAGTATTTTTGTACTTTAGTCAAGGAGCAAAGGGCCGACGGTGCCTTAATCAGGGGTGGGTTGGCAGTAACAGTACTGTGCCTTATCCAGGGAGCACAGGACTGGAGGTGCCTTAAGGAGCACCAGGTTGACGAGATGGAACAGGAGGTAGCCCTGGATTTATTACAGTGCTTTTTAGAAAAGCGGGGAGTGGACTGCATAAAGTCATTCGAGGTTTAGTAGCATTAGGACGGGTCAAAGGATGTTTTCAAGATCCTAATTCTCTTTTTGATATTGAGGAGTGGAGACGATTAGGTGATATTTTATGGGATATGGTAATAGACGAGGATAAAGCTGCAAGGAAAATGATGAAACCAGTGGCGGGACGTGGTGAATAATAGTAAGCGGTATCAGCTTGAAAAGAACCTTGCAGCTGTGGCAACTACAAAGTTGGGGGGGGAAAGTTCCTCTGTTACCCCAGATAGCGAGGCATCCAGACCTATGCTCTTTGATAGTGATCGTATTCCTGTACCATCAACAGGAGTGCGGGTTTCAGTTAACATAAGTAGGGGAAGTCTGGAGGCCAGCCCCCACCCAGTGCCCTTACAGTCATGCCCCCCCCATCCCCCACCTCAGAGGCAGAGGGACGATGGCCCCTCGCTAATATTTAGCCAACAGGAGTGGCGCGAAGTAGGTGATTTATTGTGGGACGAGACCATCACTGGAGGCAATAAAGGCAGTGAAGCACGACAGCAAGGGGTGGTCTGGCGAACGATCGTAAAAGCCCTGAGGGAGATGCCAGCAGAAAAGAAAGTAGCTGCTGCTGCCATGGC